CTTATGATTGAGTATTGGTGCTAGTTGAGGTGGTTAGATGTTGGAGCAAGTTTGGTTATAGCTAATTTTCCCTTGCCGGGACGTATTTACTTATACTGCCGATTCCCTTGCCTGGATAGTGTTGTTTCTTTATTGATCCCTTGCCGGTACTCTTGTTGTGATTGGTATTGAACTGTATATGCGGATCGGGTTGCACGCCGCAACAGTGATAAATGATATGGATCGGGTTGCACGTCGCAACAGAGTTTATTATGTTTTGGGATCGGGTTGTGCGCCGGAACAATTGATAATACGAAGTGTTTATAGATTGGTTACGAGTTCCTTATTATTTTGCTGTAAATTCTAAATTGTTCTTATGCTTTTATCTTAATTTACTGTTGGTACTGATATTCCCCCACAGCATGTACCCCCTCCCATCTTCACTTGTTATTCCTGTTTTATTTGTCCGCTGCATATTATATAACTACACATGTTTATTTGGTAGTCTGGTCCTAGCCTCGTCACTACTTCGCCGGGGTTAGGTCAGGCACTTACCAGCACATGGGGTCGATTATGCTGATACTACACTCTGCACTATGTGCAGATCCCGGAGCGGCAGCTTTTGGACCGTAGAATTCGATGGCTGCCTTCAGTCCAGCTAGAGAACCCGAAGTAGTCTTGCAGGCGTCCGCAGCCCCGGCGTTCTCTTCTATCTTTATATGTATTCTGTTTTCATTTGTTTCCGAGACAGATTATACTTTCCTTTCAGACATTTGTATGTAGTAATTCGTAGACAGTCCGTGATATTGTGACACCGGATTTCGGGTAGAGGTGTATGTTGGCATTGTCGTACTGTTTATGGTTAATTTATCAGATTAAGTCTTCCGCTTGTACTTAGTTATCGCTAATATTTCACTGTTATTTCATTGTCAACTTAAATTGTTAAAAGGGCTACATAAAAGGGTTAGTGATACTATATTACGCGGCTTGCCTAGCTTTCACGAGTAGGCGCCATCACGACTTCCGAGGATGAAAAATCCGGATCGTGACAGCCCGGGCTAACCCTACTAGTATGAATGTTATGGGAGAATGTAATGAAAACGGTGATCATTTGAAGAAGCTTTACTTCCACGCTACTATGTTATTACTAAAAAAAATGATGAAAGCACTTGCGTGATTTTTCCTTCAAAGTTCAAATTTCCAACATTAATTCAGAAACCCAGAGCAAATGTTGTTTTGTAGAAGGGACATATACAAATTCTACCCAAGATCTATTTAACTAAAGTAAGATGCCCGAATTCATAGTAGGCGTGATCAAACTATTGAATTCTTCAGTCCAAAACTATGTAAAAACATGATTTTCCAGACTCAATTGATTAAAGCGGCCAAAAAATCTATATATATATATATATATATATATATAAGAGGGCAAAAAGATGTTGATGTGGCGCCTCTTATAGACTAGAAAATGTATTTATCTAATTTCTCAATTTTTTGAGTTTTTCTTCCCTTTATATGTTATATATTATATACATTAAAATACCCAAAAGACATGACTCTTCATTAAACATTATCCTTTCATATCAGTTACATACCTTATCATTTTATATCAGTTGCAAAACTTTGTGTGCTATATTAAAAATTAAAAAACCGAAAAAAACGTACTTAACTCTTAATAAACATTATAATTACATTTCAGTTACAAATCTTTTCTTCTCCTCTAACTGCTCCTCTTCCGATCCTATAAAATCACATTTCTTTGTGATTTTTGTGGGTGGCCGATGTTCGATTAAGTAGGATAGAATAATGATTCTGCTTCATTAAGCTTTGATTTGCTGATTTGAATTTGTCATCCACGTAATTTTTTTTCTTTTTATTTACATAGTTCATTTGCTTTTTAGACTAGCCCGTAGTTACATTGTAAAGTTTAACAATCATTATAGAAGAGAAGAGGTTGTATTTTTGTTATTTGTATTTCTCTAATTTTAAAAATGATGAGAGTTGCATTAGCACCATTGGTATCGACTTTGTAAGTGAATCCTCCCATTGTCTGTAAATGTCTCATGTAGTAGTGGTTCAGAAGTATATTAATTAGAATTGTCTTCTTTTTTCTTGATAATCCGAACAATTGAACATGATAGGAAAAACATTCATTTTTTTAAGCTTCAAATGAAGAGTCTCTAATTCTGCCTTTGTGTGTTGAAAGGAATAGAAGTTTGCCTGCATTATAGTTGGTTATTTTTTCATATAATAATAATAATTATATATATATATATATATATAATACTCTATCGCTATTATTTAGAAAAATTCCGGTTTTATTGCACGAGATTTTGCTTTTCAAATTTACCTAACTCTCTTTGGTAATGAAGTTCTTTATTTACAAAAAAGGGGGTTGGGTTGGGTGAGGTTGTAACAACTGGCAACCTTTATTTATCTTTTTAAGCTTTCTCATTTCTCCTCTTGCTTTTTTATTTTTTTTTATTTTGTGGCATGTTTTTTATAGGAGAAAGCTATAAAGGTAGAAAGTTTCAACTTTTTAAGGAAAATTTTAAAAAATATGTACCTACTTAAATTAAAGAATGATATGTATGTAAATAAGTGTAGACACTTATACTATACAAAGAAATAATCCAAATAATTAATTATATGAGAAATACAAATATGACATTTAATAAAATAAAGATAGATTCTAAAAAATCGTGTAAAAATATTGAAATCAAAGGAAAAAAAATATTTTAGTAATTTTTCTCAAAACAAAATAAAATATTGATAGTATATTTGCAACTAAAGGTCTCAAATTTTTTGTTAAAGAATATTGTTCATATATTGAGACGTTAGAAAAAGATGATTGTTTCATAATTTAATAAAGGGACTCATACACTATTCTATGATAATAAGCGTTTTTGTACAATTTGCTTAACCATATACACTTTTGATATAATAAATGTGTAAATTATTTTTTTTTTAAATATCGTTAAAGTTTATAGATGGTAATCTTTATAAAAAGTTGTTTTTATAATTGTTATCTTTTACAACCGCGCAAAGCGCGGCCAATTCACTAGTTTCGAAGAAAGTTTGTCACCCAAAATTCCACTATTGTCTTGATGACACATAACCCAATCGGTTAGGCAAGCCAAACAGCATAAGTTAGAACTGTAATGAGAATTTATTAATATTATTAATAAAAACTGCAAAAGAATACAATACAAGTATCCCAAAGACTGGTAATACAAGTCATGAGCCACTATGATTTTGATTTACAAAGCTGGTGAAATGAACAAATACAAATCTATTTGAAAGTTACATAAATAGAAATGAAATCCTAAGCCACCATCAACGAAAGGGTAGCATGAATATCGTACACTGGTACATCTCCAATGCAAAGCTCCATTTTCACAGCTACTCAGCTCCAAAATCTGCACGCAAAATGTAAAAGTGTAGTATGAATACAACTGACCTCATGTACTCCATAAGTATCTTGACTAACCTCAAAGAAATAATCACGAGATTTTTATGTCAAAAGTTACTCACTATTCAAATAACCTCTGCAATATATCAAAAATTGACAAGATAAAGTATGGTAAAATCCTGTCAAACGTATTTTAAAATTTTGGCACGCGACTTCTTTAAAAAAGAAAAATGTTACCAGAGTAAAAAAAATTAATAGTTACACAAAAATAGCCTATTTGTGTCATTCTTGGCAATGGTTGAGTCCATCCTTCATTATTAGAGTAGCCCAACCAATTTTTCAAAGGTTGTGTCCATCCTCCATCAGTAGAACGTCAACACTAGAAAAATGGAAAATGTTCAAAACCTTAATATAATTTTAGTTCCTTTCTCTTGATATTATCTTTTTTTTTTACCTTTCGAACTGTTGTTGAATATATTGGCATGCAAGAAACAACCAAAGGAAATGAAAGCAAAAAAGCGGAGTGGGTGAACGCACTCTAAAAGGAAATGATCTTTACATGGGAATGAAAGAATATGGAGTGATTAATGAAGAAAATATTGCAGAATCAAAAGTGGTCCTAATTTACGGTCAAATGAATGAACCGCAGGAAGCTCGTATGAGATTTGGTTTGATTGCCCTAACTTAGACAGAATATTTCCGAGATGTTAGTGAACAAGACGTACTTTTATTTATTGATAATATCTTCCGTTTCATCCAAGCAGGACCCAAAGTATCGGCCTTATTAGGTAGAATGCCTTCCGCTGTGGGTACCTTTATTTTCGGAAAAGACTCGTATGCCCACAGATTAACCGGAGGGAACAAAGCACCACATAGAATATGGAATTATATTTTCACTTTCAGTTTCACCTCGCGACTCGGGATACGTGCAAGGAGAGTCAGGGAAGGGGCAAAGGGTTCACCCACTTTCAAGAGTTTCATAGGTTCAAGAGATTCCACAATAAAAGTTCGTGGAAGGTATTGTAACACCGCGGCTCCTCAATTAATTATCCACCACACAGCAACTCTACTTTTCCAACCTTTATTTTCTACAAATAAAACACATAATCTCACAAATTGACGGACATTGATACATTACAGTACACCAGCAACTACATTATATTTATACCATTTTTACCACCACTTCAGTGGAGGAGTTATGCTGAAAAGCATAATTGTTTTTTCGAAAAATTATATCGTATAAATATGGTAAATGCAATTGTTTTTGGTTTTGAAGGAAATTATAAATAGGTAAAAAAAAAAAAACAGCTACAAATACGATTCTCAATTAACAAGGTCAAATTGCAATATGCGTTTATATAACTATTGGGAAAAAATAATTTACGTGGCCAAAATAGTAACTATTTTACAGGAAAGAAGCGTTATGAAATATTATATTGTTGCAGCCAAAATGGTAGATTCCTATGCTATACTACAATACCTTGCTCCTTATACAGAAACAACTCTAGCAAAATATTTTATGTATCGTGAACGATACATTTAAATCATTTATCTCACCCATGCGGATCTACCCTGAATCATATATATATATNGACTACACATTGCAAAGTTCAGCGATGTACAGTTCTAGCCTCAATCAATCCACTAAAGATACATAGAACAGCATGTTTGTAACATTAATGTCAAACAGACAAGATATACACCAATATTACATTTAGTTTCTACATTTCAATAAACAGACTGGTATGTATAACATCTAGAGGCCGCTCCAATATCCAAAAATAATACCAAGTGCCTTCAAAAATATAGGCACATACTACTGATAACTATTTACGCAAAAAATGTGGAACAGTTTGTTAAGGCGGCCAAACATCTAAACTTTGTTAAAAGATCGGTATGATCTACCAAAATGTTATCAAAATGCGTCTGTATATCGCATACTGTCTGAGCGAACATCATTGCTTCGACAATCTGTACAAATAAAATATTCATTTTAAGAACATTAGTAGATGGTAAAATATGGTATTTGAGTTTCTAACCTTGAATGTGAATTTGGTAGGGTACTTGGTTCCCTTTTCCGTTTCTTAGTTGCTTTTGCATCAGTCATAAGTATTGGCTCTTCTTCCATAATTTTGTCGGCACCACTCACAGATGTTGACTCTTCTGGTAGAAACATGGCTGGTTTTTCAGTGTATGACAAAAGAACCAGAGAACCTGCATTTTTGTCCGGTGTTCTAGATGATGACCTTTGTAACTGAACTCTGAATAGTTTATCAGTAAGTAGTTGATTGATATGGGCAATCGGGAATAACTCATTCTGCAAATAGATAGTAAAAATAATAGATATCATATCAGAGTATTATATTAAGTTTGTTGACCTATGTTAACTGCGATGTTGTATGTGTATGTACCTTAACACCAGTGATATCATATATCTGTTCAGCTGTCATTGATAATATTCTTTCGCCCAAGCCTTCAGACATTGTTGCTGTTATTGTGCCAGTTTCGTCTGTAATTTCTACCTCAAAGCGGCACCTATGATGTGGTATGTTGTAAATTATTTTAGTTGAGGTACAATAGTGGCATACAATATCAAATATTGTCAATGGTATAATCTTATTAGTAGTAGTTGTTACCTTGGAATTAACATTCGTGGCAGCCTGCAGTTTATGCATTGAATCTCCCTTTTTATTTTTCTCCAAACAAGATGGTTACATTCAGAACAACCTAGCAGGTAAAATTGTTGGAAATGCTCAGGTAGCGAAATTTCTCCTTCGACGTAAAATCTTTCCGCCTGCAAAGTGTTAACACGGAGAAATAATAGAAGGAAAACTTAGTGGGTAAGAGACAAAATGACTTGTTTTTTTGTTCTTTTTATCCAGGTAAAAGCACGTGAAACAATGTGCATGTTGATATAAACTACTTTTTGTCACATATAATTGTGGTCGTTCATAGGCAGTTGTAGGACAATTTTCAGATGTTCTTTAACTTTTTTCTACAGTAAAAAGTAAGGAAAAACTTAAAGGTAAATACTAATATGAATACTCAGTTAACCATCTGCTCCAACCTAAAATTCATTTGGTAAAGGATTTCCTATTCTTTAATCCAACCCCTATATATACTTCTCCTTTCCATCATCTTTTCTTCACATACAAGTTTAAAGTACTGGTTATAAGTACACTTCTTACATAAAAAACAAACCAATGAAGCAATACTTTTAGTTTCTTGTCTTTTTTAACTCCATTGTTTTCCAAGTTAGAAGCAATAAAATACCAAAGATGATGATGTCTATATTCAGTCCCTTTGATGCTCTCTCTGCTAAAGTTTTTCGACAAAAGGTCACAGAGTTTATGCAGCAAGGCCACTGAAGATAAAATTGTATATAATTTCACAAATATTTGCAACCAAACACTTATCCAATTTGAACAATTTTTAGTCAGCAGAAATTTTGAAAATTAGGAAAAGAAGAAACCAAAACCTATCTTATAACTATAAGCGAAGCCTAAACAACAAAGACATATAATTTCAAGGAATTTTTGGTCAGGTAAATTAACTGGGAATAAGAGCTCCGTAAGTTTAACCTAGTAAGTTATAGCATGTTTTTCCCTGTACTATCTAACACCATATTTCTTCTAAACCTTTGTCAAGGGAAAAAAAACTCTCAAACTATTTGAAAAGGAATTCACAAAATTAGTCTTTTGAGTTGGGAGGGGTAGATGGCATGTTATTTCAATATTCTAAAAACTTAAAAACTTTTGAATAAAGTAAAGAATTTCAAAAGCAAAAGATATTGAAATACTTTTAGAAACAAACACCATCCAATCCTCTCAAAAATAATTTTTATATATGAATCCTCATAATAAAATTTATTGAACTGTTATCCATATTGTATAAAAGATACATTGTGTGGCAGTTTTCGGCATTTTTTATTTTGTAATTTAGTGAAGTCACAGTGGAGGTTTGCGTAGCAATAGCTGAAACAGATAATATTTCATCGTCAACAGCTACAAGATTAAGCGATGAAGCTGACTCTGCTGAACTCTTCACTATGTATTCGATTAGCATTTGTTTGTTCTCATTTATCCTGTAATTCGCACAGGAAATGTCAGACAATTATAAATAACAGTTAAATAATAATGTGGTACATTTTAGGCACAGGTTGTATTGTACCAATTCTGTAATTCAGTTGCTTGCACATATAAGGGATTGATTAAGATTGTTGAGTTGTATCTTGTTGCGAAACGGGTAACTGCGTATGCAAATTTTGTTAATAACCAACGCAGAACCATAATCCATACGTAGGAACAGGAGCTGCGTTAACTTACCACCATGATATTTTGTGGTACCTATCCGCTTCGCGAGAATAATAGGATATTCTTGTAGTTGCCTCACTTGTTTCAGTAACTCAGCTCCTTCATTGCTTGCCAAGTCTACCCATATAGTGAAGAAGAGAGGTTTCTTCCTGTACATGTTACTCATATAAGTGTCAGGTAGAGATTTTGTTATGTAATAGAAGATTAAATGACTCACATTTTGTCCATAACTATGGCCTCTTGAAATTTCTTACTCTGATCAGTGGTTTATTGCATTGCCCCACAGTTTGCTACCACAGCTAATAGATCTGTTGTTATAAACAAAAAACAAATGTACGTAAAACCAATATACTTGCATTCAGCATGAGTTTCAAGTAATTAAGTTGTTATAAGGCATAGGGTAATTTGAAATATACCAAATTCAACACCGGAAGGCTGTTGTGCAACATCGGCGAATGAAATCGTACTCAGTCTTGATGGAGGAGGTAACGGTGCCTCCTTTTCATTATTTTTTGGGATAAACTCCACAATAGTAAATCTGTCAACGATTCACTCAAATTGGCCTATATGTAGTGAATATGGTTGTGGATTTTTAACCTTGGCAGTTGAAATCAGATATGTCTCAAAAAGTTCGAACAAGTTATCACATCTTCTAATATTGTCACCATAAAGTATCACGCAAACTTGTTCCTCCTACAATGTTATTAAGAATGATAACTACTCCCTCCATTTTAATTTATGTGAACCTATTTCCTTTTTAGTCCGTGCCAAAAAGAATGACATTTTTCCCTATTTGGAAACAATTTACCTTTATGTAATGATTTATAGCCACACAAAATATATGTGCTTCATTTTACACCACAAGTTCAAAAGTCTTCTCTCTTTCCTTAAACTCTGTGCCCAATCAAATGGGTTCACATAAATTGAAACGGAGGGAGTAAGTAATTATTGGAAGAGTCCAAGTGAAAAGAACTTATGTTACAATTATAGTTGTAACTTGACTTACATTTACATCCTGCACAATTACTGTCTGAAAATGAACTCGCTAATCTTTACTGTCTCGCGGCCGAAATTTGTCTATAGCCTGGACTTTGCAAGTCCATTCTGTAGTTAGTGGTGTAATTTCACTAATACTAAGTCTTTGTTCCATTTTATTAATATAATCTGCATATTGGTAACTGTAAAATTGCAAGAACAAATCATCCCACATTACAAATATGAGGCAGCAAATATACGTAAAATACACTTGAATTTTTTTTTGCAACAATTAGGATTTTCTAGTAAAAGTTGGATTTGGATTTTTTTAATCACTACATTTCTGAGTGTTGGAACTCCCTGCGTCAAGAAAGAATTGAAAACTTTGTTAAAGGTATTCAAGAAATTTTGGTAATACGGAGAAAAGGCATATGTTAATACGATTGGCATGATAAGTGAAATTCATAGGCCAAAATGCTTTGAAGTTAGGCAAATATACAAACTTAAATCACGGTTCCTTTCACTCTACTTTCAGATTCAATTCAAACACACATGAAAAAAAGAATGTCCATCAAGTTCTTCACTATCGATTTGTTTATTTTATTTATTTTGTCAAAATGGGATTTAAGAACGAACTCAAAGAACTGATTCGTTTATTTTATTGAAGTTAATTCTGCCGGCAGCTAAGTATATCATCCAGAGTCCTTAAAGTAATGCAGAGTTTTTTAGGATGATTCTGAGCTAGAATGCCTCGAATTATATCCCTTCTTGAACAAACGAAACGAAACTCTTGTATTCGGATACTTTCTCTGTCAACATTACGGTTCCTCCAATGAAATCCGACTTCTATTCCTTTAGGAAAAAGTAAAACTAAAAAGGCTTGAAGTGAAGAAGTTTCAAATTTTTCATGAAGGTCCTTTCCGCTTGACTATTATGTATAGTTGCTTGAAATGTTTATTCAAACTTACGTATTCCTGCAGCTTATAAAGAGAAACAGCATAGGCTATGCTTTTATTGGGTTTGGCGAAATACATACGGAGACACTTAAAGTTGGCACGATTTTTTATTTAGACACCTGAACTTAAGAGAGTTCCTATTGAGCACTTATACTACCCGAAACTTATTCCAATTGAGCACTTCTTGCTGAGTTGGCACATAAAGTGAATTTCAGACGATATAGGCGCGTGAAGACCCAAAAAAATAGATTTTTTATTTTTTATTTTTTATTTCCTTCATCTTCTCCCTCAAAAACAAAACAGATCTGTCAGTTGTCTCTTCACTGCCAGAATTCGGCAAGAGAAACCGGCGACCTCATCCTCTCCAAAAAACCAACGAGCTCCCCTCTTCTTCTCCAGGCGACCTCCCCTCTCCAAAACCCTAGGAAAACGATCTGGGTTTGGCGGCGCTAAGCTAGAAATATTGTGCAATCTTGTCTTGATAAGAACACAAAGATTTTATTTTTTGTATATCAAGAGTTTGAAGGCTAGGTGTAATTAGTTGATGTTATTTGTATATTAGATTTTCTGAATGTTTAACAAGAGTTCAATGCTCTTCAATTTTTGATTTTTGATTTTTTATTATTGGATTTTAATTTTTCTTGTAAATCCTAGATTTGATTTAAGGTTGGAGAAGACAAGAGGAGCAGCCGCATCCCCTTGTTGCAGAGAACTGCAATTAAATGAAATCCACCATTAATGGGTCTTTAAAAAGCTTGAAGGTTTAAAATGGATTACTTGATTTGATGAAAGTTTGGGAAATTAATATTAGGGTTGTCTTCGGGTCATCATGGGGAATGTTTAGCTGAAGTTATAACAAATTTGGTGGAGTTTCTCTTAAAAATTTGGATTAAAATCGTGCTTGGAACAAGAACACACATGAAAATTATGAAGAACACCAAGATCACTAATTATTTTGTTTATTAAATAGATTTAACATAGTTTTTCCTTTTTTTTACTCAAAATAATATATGTCCTTTTATTATTCTTCAGCACAAATTTTGTAAGTTTGGTTGATTGTCAAATAAGTGCTCAATTGGAATAAGTTTCAGGTAGTATAAGTGCTCAATAGGAACTCTCTTAAGTTCAGGTGTCTAAATGAAATATCGTGTCAACTTTAAGTGTCTCCGTATGTATTACGCCTTTCGAAAAGCTATGTGCAAGTTTCCTTCTAGTGATGTGCTTGTGAAGTTAATATTAATTCACATCTTCCTCTGCTTCAGAACTGATATGCACATTGAATTTTCGCCCGATTCTATAAGTTGCTTATATTATGTCATTTCAAGATATTCGAGAGAAGGTGGGTGTGGCCCCCATGGAGGACAAGATGCGGGAAGCAAGACTCAGATGGTTCGGGCACATTCAGAGGAGGAACACTGATGCACCGGTGAGAAGGTGTGAACGACTGGCGGTGGTGGGTACGAGGAGAGGTAGAGGGAGACCTAAGAAGTATTGGGGAGAGGTGATCAGGCAGGATATGGCGCGACTTAGGGTTACTGAGGACATGGCCCTAAACAGGAAATTGTGGAGATCGAGCATTAAGGTTGTAGGTTAGGGAAAATTGTGATGTCTTTTTTACATCGTACTAGAGTGAGACTAGCCAGTTAGGAGTTAGTCTTAGGATGTTATTGATCAACTACTGATGATGGGCTTTATCTGCTGTGTATTAATACCTTACATCTTTCTCATATTTCCTATATCTCTTATATTGCTGTTACTTTATTTTATGGTATTTATGTTATGTTATGGATTTTATGGTATTTTATGTTGTTTTATTATGAGTCTATTGATAGTACTAATATAGTGTCTCTTGCTGCTTCTTTGAGCCGAGGGTCTCCTGGAAACAGCCTCTCTGCCCCCCGGGTAGAGGTAAGGTCTGCGTACATATTACCCTCCCCAGACCCCACTTGTGGGATTACACTTGGTTGTTGTTGTTGTTGTTATCTATTTCTTATCAGATTGAACACTAAATAGAACTGATTGAAGGATATAATATCAATCTGTGGGCATCTCACTCATCCTCACATCTAAGGCACGGAAATATGAAATTAGACATGAATTTTGTAACCCATGAGAGGAAGAAGAAAAACAAAGAAGGTCACTGAAATTAAAAGATACATCTGTTGGATTACACAACTACCCCAAATTGTGAAACATCATAGTTGAACTTTATTTTGCTCAGTCAAAATCAAATTAACCCAGTCCACAAACATCAAATCGATTCTTACTACACTTTAAAAGAGTTGAAAGAGATGAAAAATAGGATTAAATCCAGAAAAGCAAAAGAGAGGCGCAACAATATATCATCAATTAGGTTAGAATTTTAGGCGAAAGCAAGCTTAATCTTCCATAAAAGATTCAAAACATCATAAGAATACTATCTTAACTCTAAATAAAATTATAGTCAGGAAAGGTTATCTTCTATAACTGTAATTTCTAGGGAAATTAGAAAACAGCTTAAGTCGATTTTAGAATTCCTAACAAGGGAACCGCCACAAGAACTTTTTCATACACTACTATACTTCAGAGGATTCTAATAACAAATCTCACTCCTTTTACCCTTCGCTAAGGAGATTCAACGGTGAAGATCCTCTCCCAAATGAGGTCTATTAAACCAAGGTTTGTCACTTTTTTTGTCTTCTACAAAATCTTAATTGCAAAATAAACAAATTAATAAAAACAGAGAAAAAATCAGAACTCAACCTTAGTTTGTTTTTACCTTTACGGAAGAAAAGGCTAATCAAGCGAAAACCCCGAATATCTTTTTGCAGAAGATCTGAAGTTTTGAACAGAGGAATAAGTATAAAGCTAAAAGAGGAATTTATGAAGAGGGTAAAGAAAAGCACGAAGGAAAACTTGGATATAAACAAAAGCAGACCAAAGAATAAAAAATTTGGAAGTGGTGCTTTCTACCTGGCAGATTAAGGTGTCAAGAGAAAATGAAATGACAAAAATACCCTTATTCTCTCTTATACTAGTAAATAGTAGTAGATAGTGGATATATATATATATATATATATATATATATATAATATATTTAACATTAAATAAAAGGGAAAGAGATCTGATGTTTACTACAATATTATACATTTATAACTACGAATTCTTAGCTACAAATAGGGGTGTTCAAACTGAACCGAAAAATCGCACCAAACCGAAAAATCAAACCGATTAAAATACCCGATTAGGTTTGGTTCGACTTGGTTTGGTATTGAGTAAAAAAATTCGAACCAAACCGTCATATAAATATATAAATTTATTTATATTTTTAAGAATTTATAGTGAATTTTCTTTAGAAAATGTGGAAATATTTGGGATCCTCTCATGTATTAACCTTGAAAGCGTAAATAAACGAAAAATTATTGTTAGACTACTAAGAAAATAACTATCACGTGTTACTAAAAAAATTCTCCCATTAGAATATTTTAATAGATCATATGTTTGTCAATTTTTTCCATATTTACTAAACATATATTCACTTATCAAAGCTTTATCTATAATTTTAACAAAGTAAGATTGAAATAATATTCATGTAATAAAAAAATCCGAAAAACCCGACAAAACCAAACCAATCCAAACCGATATAGTTGGTTTGGTTTTGATAAAAATTGAACCAACCTGGTCCATGTACACACATAGCTACAAATATGAAAGTTGTAGCGAATACCTAACAATAGCCACACATATTAAAATTTCATAGCTATTTGCAATTTCGTAAAATTCATTAGCTATAAAATTTAATTTGCAAAGCCAATTCCTATCGGCTGTATTATATTTTGAAAAATTTTAGTATAGTTGAGTGAGGCAGTCCAATGATGTGTTGTTTTGTGATGACCCAAAAGGTTA